CTTTCCCTTAGGTTAACATCAGTATTGTACGCAGTGGTGGATGTTATGGCAAAGTGCATCTGTGGTTACAAATAATAAATGGGACTGCTGAGGAGGGAATCGATTTCACTCCCACAGTAGAGGGCATATTGTTTGAACCTGATGAGGAAAATAAAATGATTTGGATTGAAATTCATGATGATGATTTTCCTGAAGGTCCTGAAGACTTTTTAGTGACAATAATCAAAGTGGAACTCCAAGGAAGGTAAACATAAAACTTTCAGTAGAGTGGAAGATTGATTACAAGCCAAACAACATAACATATCTGGAATAACTGCAATAATTTTCCTATGGGGATAATAGTGATCATGATATAATCAAGAAGTGGCATGATCATTTCTTTTAACATGTTAATATAAACTTATTTTGCTGATCAAGATAAATTTAAGCTAAAAATTTATACATTATATACATTTCATGATGTGTATATGCTTTTATGTATTAAAAGTGCAAAAAGTTGGCAATATTTTATTCAAAAATATAATTATATAAAAATATAATCTTAATATTCTGATAAAAATAGAACACAATATATTTCTGAAAGTACATTATTTCATTTCTCAATAAGTTGACATTTTGAGGAGCTTTTAAAATATTAAATGAATTTTTTACACCTGTAACAATGGAGTTTAAGACTGCAGTCATAAGTACAGGTGTCATTTGTGGACACCTGTATGCCATCCCGCTTTTCTCTTACATCTGAAAATACTATTGGGCTAATGAAATGTCTGTTGAAAGATTTATGAATTAGAATTTCCACAATGCACATGTATTTCAGTAACAGTACACAGTGTGTGCTTAAGGAATACCAAACATCCAGTTTTCCAAGGAGATCTTTTTCTTTTTTTTTTTCCTGGAGATCTTGCTTCATACATTTGTCATGAAAAAATGGAGGAAAGAAGCATGATGTCAGGAATGGCTGTTCACTTCCTGTGCACAAATGAAATATAAAGTCTGTGTTTTCATGAAACACTGCATTTTTCTACTGATGTATATGTATACATGTATATATGTATATATGTATATCTTGAATTAAAATGCAAGTGTGGCATATATGAACTTGTTACTATACTGAATTCCTTTGGCTTAGTACCTTTTTTATTTATTTTTTAACTCTAACCTTGTAGTTATTTCCCTAAACATCTCCTGCAAGAAGTTGTATTAAACATTTTTATTAACAAGACTATGTTAGGAAAGGTGTTACCATTTCAAAACAGATGTACAAACACAAGTCATTATGATACAGATCTTCAGTTTGTCCTACTTATTCCCCATGCTTTGTGCATTGGTGTACAGGCATTTCAGGGAAGTAATCGAGCCTGCAGGTTTCTCAGGAGGGGTGAAAGAGGACCCTCTATAATCATATCCTATCCTCACTTCCCCGCTACCATACTCCCACTGGATGCCATCTGACTTTGGCTGTGTGGTACTGATTGCCCTGTCTGTGTGATACTCCCCTTCCCCCTTCTTGCCTTGTGGGCTTGACTAACCTGATAGCCTTCTGCGATGGAATGACCAGCTGGATAGATGAAGGGAGAGCAGTGGATGCTATGTCCACTTCACCAAGGTTTTTGACACCATCCCTCACAACATCCTCCTGGGCAAGCTCCAGAAGTGTGGGATAGACGAGTGGACAGTGAGGTAGATTAGGAATTGGTTGGATGGCAGAGCTCAGAGGGTGGTGATCAGCGGTGCAGAGTCTAGTTGGAGGCCTGTGGTTAGCGGTGTCCCCCAGGGGTCAGTCCTCAGTCCAGTCCTGTTCAATTTATTCATCAATGAACTGGATGAAGCCACAGAGTGCTCCCTCAGCAAGTTTGCTGATGATACCAAACTGGGAGGAGTAGCTGATACCCCAGAGGGCTGCACTGCCATCCAGAGGGACCTGGACAGACTGGACAACTGGG